TCAAAAATCCCAATACAATTCTTCACAGACCTTGAAGAAACAATACTCAACTTCATATAAAAAAAAAAAACCCAGGATAGCTAAAACAATCCTGTATAATAAAGGAACTTCTGGAGGTATCACCATCCCTGACTTCAGTGCTATAGTAATAAAAACAGCAAGGTACTGGTATAAAAACAGACAGGTGGATCAACAGAATTGAGTTGAAGACCCTGATGTAAATCCACACACCTAAGAACACCTGATTTTTAACAAAGAAGCCAAAATTATACAATGGAAAAAAGAAAGCTTCTTCAACAAATGGTGCTGTTATAACTGGATGTTTGCATGTAGAAGAACGCAAATAGATCCATATCTATCTTTTAATTTATTTTTATTTTATTTTATTTTGTTTTTTTTCAAGACAGTGTTTCTGTGTGTAACTTTGCGCCTTTCCTGGAACTCACTTTGGAGACCAGGCTGGCCTCGAACTCACAGAGATCCTCCTGCCTCTGCCTCCCCCCCCCCCCCCCCCCCCCCCCCCCCCGAGTGCTGGGATTAAAGGCGTGCGCCACCACCGCCCAGCCCCTTTTAATTTATTTTTAAAGACATAGTCTCATGTAGCACCGAATGGCCTCAAACTTGCTGGGTGCAAAAGATTGACCTTAAGCTGCCAATTCTCCTGTCTTCGCCTCCCAAGAGCTGGAATGACCGGTGTGAGCTCCACACCCAGCCTAGAATTTTGTTACTATGCAGAGCTGGAGATGTGTCCTTTGAAATATAATCATGTCCTGAGGGTAAAGCCTTATTATTAAGATGAATGGGAGGACCCTTCCATCACATAAGCACGCCCCCTACCCAGGACCAAGTATGAACCAGGGAGCAGCCCACTCCAGACACTGGATTTCCTGGCATGTTGACCTTAGACTGTCTAGTGCCCAGGACTAAGAGGCTACACTAACAGTAAGAAAATAAATAACTGTTGTTTACGAGTACACAATTTATAGCTATACAATATACCCTAGTTATAAGAGCCCAAATATGGCACACTTGTAAAATTTATGTTATAATTGATTCCTTTATTGTTGTTACTTTGAGACAGGGTCTTCTGGCACTTGTTAAGCAGGTTAGCCTCAAACTTGGGATGATCGCCCTGCTTCTGCCTTCTGGATGCTAGGATTGTGGGTATGAGCAACTACTTTTGACATAAATAATTAACTTTAAAATAAGAATGTATTAGTTTTTATTCTTTTTTGAGAGTCTAACTGTATAGCTCTGGCTGGTTTGGAACTCACTATGTAGACCAGAGTGGCACTACATAGACCAGACCAGCATCAAACTCAGAGATCTGCCTATCTCTCCCTGTGGAGTACTGAAATTACAGGCAAACACCACCACAGCTGGTGGAATACATTAATTTTAACATTTCCCTCAGAAATCCTTGTCAGCTCCCTTGAAATACACCATGGGCTGTCATAAAGTCACAATGAAAAATTTACCATAATATAAAGTTTGAAATAATAGTCACATTGAGCAAATATTTTCCCCTATATCAAATCTGTTTGACTGCTGATTCAGAAGGGTTCCTATATTAGCTACATTAAAATAATATAACTTCACGTAAAAGTTGAGGCAAGTATTCTAGTTAGAGCACAATGCCAGACCTGTGCGTTTATTTAGAGATCATCACAATCAGCCAAGGTTAGGTATTTTACAGCTACAGACTATATAGTCCTTAAAACAAATACTGCCTGAAGTATTTCAAATGTATAAGTCAGTTTCCAAAACTTCCAACAAAGATGAACATGGCTAAGGAGGCAAGCAGATTAATAAGCTTGGAATGATTAAAGGGAAATAAAATTCAGACAACTGCTTTGAATTCACTGCTATTTTACTGCCTGAGCCAGGACTCTAAACATGTACTTTAAGGACTATAAATTTAGAATCTATTTTTTTTTTTTAAATCTAGAACATTGTGTCCTAGGTGTATCGCTCTAGTTTGGATTGCTTATGTAAAATGAACTGGAATGGAATGTTCGGTAAGGTTAAAATCGATACAGCAGCGCCACCCAGTGACTATACTGAACACACAAGTATGTTACTAGAATTTTTCATGTTAAATTGTACTGTATTTTCAGTGTAGCGATGCTTCAGCTATTTATATGAAATTATGCTCTATAACACTAACTCAAGGATATAACAAACAATTACACATCTTACCTATTTATTCAAAATCAGCTAGTAAATATATTCAAAGCATATCATGACACCCATGAATAAAGAGTTCTGTATTTCCTGTGTTACCTGTAATGGCAGCAAGCCACTGCTTGGCACTGGTGATTCCTCTCATATGAGATGTTCAGCAAGTGTAGGATCGTATTCCTGCATGTTTATGCTCTGGTATATATTCCTACATTCATTAATGCCTCTTAATGAGTAATTTAAAGGTTTCCTGTCAGATGTCTTTGACATAAAATGAATTTTTATAATTTCACTTCAGACTGCTATTCCTGGACGGTCATCATTTTTAAGACAACAGTAAATATTATTCATGAGTAAATGGAATGAAGTTATCAATGATACCACCACAGAATTTATAAATCAGCCGTAATGTGACATGTTCAAATGCTAATATGACCAGACAACATTACAATATCCTACTGCATATCAAATATTAGAATACTGTTTTGGGGTTGTAAAAACTGAATGGGATATTTTGTCATCCTTTATTTCTCATAGAAAATATAAATGCATTGGGAGGGCAAATAGAATCAAAGTGCACATATTTTTTAAAAATGGTTTTGAGGCTTTTTACAATTTCTTTCTCCTGTCAGAGGCATCACATTTTAAAAAGTGACTCTTGGGCTAACAAGACAACTTCATGGGTAAAGTCACTTAACTAAATCCTATGACTTCCTTTTCTTCCCTGGACCCCACACAGTGGGAAGAGAGAACCAACTCTTGAAAGCTGTCCTCTGACCTACACACACACACACACACACACACACACACACACACACACACACACATAATAAAGGAAGGAAGGAAGGAAAAAAGGAAGAAAGGAAAGAAAAAAGGTTTTGTTGTTTGTTATGCCCAGATTGCAGGGATCCCCAAAAGACTACCATGGAGACCGAATCCCACATGCAAAAGCAAAGAGCCTTTATTTTAAGCTCTGGGGCTTGGTCCCTCTATCTGTCTGATGCAGCGGTGAGCAGAGAGCCTGAGACCAGGCAGGGTGGGCTTTTTATCACAGCAGAAGTTGGGGTGAGGGGATTTCCAGGGTTCAGGGCCCTGATTAGCTTTAGGTACTTCCCCATCCCTGGGTGGATCCCTGGGTGGTGTCAGCTTATAGCATTTCCTGGATCTGGGTGTTGCCTGCCAGTAAGCCTGTCACAGAAGCTGTGTCTGGGCCTCTAAGCCTGTCATGGCTGCTGTGTAGTCAAGCTGTTTGGGAGGCCCTCCACAGATGTTTTTAAGAAAATTATTCACTTCATTAACAAACACTGCGCATCAGTGGATAGAAGGTATGGTGTTAGGTACTGGGAACCTAGACTATTAGGAGCAAGACTTCAGGAAGAGAGGAGACAGACACAACACAGATGATATGAAGTAGGTTTTGTTTGTTTGGGGTTTTTTGTATGGAAAAACTCCACCTCTGATGTCTCTCAAGTTTCACATTATTTAACTGATTGTCATTATCTGGATATTATCAGGTGTGTTTCACAGGCATCCAGAAGTAGATCTACTAGAAAATGAAACCACCAGTCACTTCCCAAGTGAACCTATGTTACCCAAAGTAGAAAATGGCACCTCAGTTGAAAAGGTGCTTAAGCAAGAAAACTCAGTCACTTACTAGGTATTTATTATTCCAAATACCTGGTAAACTGGCCCGTGGTCAAATCATTCCCTGATGCGGCCCAGCTGGGTAAAGCAAGCTCAGCTTCTCGGACCCTGAATAATTTCTCACTAGGAAACCTCTGTGGGTCTCTACAAGTCAGTAAGGTGAAAAGGGCTTGCTTCACAAGCATGAGGCCTGCACTAGTTCCCCAGCAGCCAGTCATGGCGGCATGCACTTGTAATCCCAGTACTGGGGAGGAGGAGGTAGGCATCCCTAGAGCTCACTGTTGGCTCAGTCTAGCCTGATTGGTGAGCTGCAGGCCAATTAGAGGACCTATCTCAAAGAAAGTGTATGGTGTCTCCAAGGATGTTACTCATACAAGGTTTTCTTCTGCCATGCACATGCACATGTACACCCTGGAAATCTCCTCACCCCAACCTCTGCTATGATAAAAACAAACAAACAAACAAGCCTACCCTGTCTGGGCTCACGGCTCTCTGCTTTCAGAGACAGAGGGACCTAGGTCAGAGCTAGAAAATAAAGGCTCTTTGCTTTTAAATACAGGATTCGGTGTCCGTGGTGGTCTTTTGGGGGTCCCCGAGATTTGGTTATAACAAAATGAACTATTAGACCTCCCATCTCTACAAGCCTTGCTTACAGAGGACTCAGGTCCTTTGGACCCAAATTCCGGCTAGACTTCTTTTGAACTCCTGTGGGTGGCTTTGGGTCACTCACGCAATCTCTTTAACGTAGAGCGTTCTTTCTAAGGCAAAATAACAACGCGTATCCACCCACTCGCGTTCCCGTCCCAAGCTTTCATGACCCTTAAGTGAAACGATGCGTACAAATATGCAAGGCAGAATCTGACCCCATCAACGCTTATCAGGCAGGGACATTGTTACTATTACAGCAGGCTTCTCTACAATGTTTTTGATTCAGTAGAGACAACACCTCCTTTACCCACTGTACTCTCAGAGCCTAAAAGAAGAACCCAGAAACCGTCTGCTCGCTAAACAGGACACCGGCCATAAAGTTCCGGAGGAAGTCACTGACAACCGAGTAAACACCGCCCGGAACCCCGCCCCCTAAGCAGCTGTGCTCCTCGGTCCAGCGGAGTCACAGTTCCGACTAGAAGCCAACTCCCTGAACAATGGTTCCGCCAGCCTGGGGCCAGGCTTGCCGCGCCGCACATCAAGCCCCACCCACCGTGGGTCTTCTGAGCCCTCCGGGCACCCGTCGCGGAGGAAGCGCGCTCTGCGGAAAGGGGCGGGCCTCGCACGCGAAGGCGGCTGGTTTGAAAAGTGACAACAGTTGGAGGCTTTTGGTTTGTTATTTCGCTTGTCTCCAGTCGTCTGAGAGCTGCTGCGACCGCAGGTGAGTGCGAGCGGCCGCCGGAGGAGCGGGAGGAGGCCTAGGCTCGGGGCGCCTGGGTTCGCTGACTTAAGCTTCTGTGTGCTGACTTGAGACAGGGTCTAAAGAATCCAAGTTGTCCTGGAACTCACCATGTTCCTGAGGCTTGTTTTGAACTCCTAATCCTATCGCTTCCAACTCCCGAATGCTGAAATTACAGGTGTGAGCCGCAAGAGTGGTATCAGTGGGACTTGTTTCGTGGTGAATGCTTGTCACCTTTTTCTAGGTATCCCCATTGCTCCATCTCTTGATTACACCCAGAATCATGAATCAGAAGGCGAAGATGTCATACTTAACCCAAAATCAGGGAGCTGAGTGTACATGGCTCTACTCGTGTGTAACAGTAGGCCCTCCCCACGATTTTCAGGAACTTTCTTATTTAATTCATTAAAATTGGGAGTTACTTGCTTAGTTTTGCATTGCCAAACCTAATATATAAAATTTAACAGCTGTTCCAGTGCATACTGTGCCTTGCATTGTAGTGTTGCAAATAAAGGAGAAAGAGGAGCCAGTAGCGGAAATCTGCCCTCTTTGAGCTAGCATGTCAGAGTCATTTTACTGTATATAAATTACTTTAGTCTGAGCTATGAACTCAAACTAAAGGCCTCCTCTCTCTCTCTCTCTCTCTCTCTCTCTCTCTCTCTCTCTCTCTCTCTCTCACACACACACACACACACACACACACACACACACACACACACACACACACTCATACTCGTGAATGAATTGGAACTGAAATTGCACTGTGAAAGACTGAGAATTCGGATATGAGAAGAGGTCATTATACCCACTAATTGCAGGTGTAAGCCTCTTGGTAGCTTTAGATTGGGAAACTGGTCGTCAGAAATTCCCAGACGGGTGTAATGAGGTGCAGAGATTTCCACGAAGGTGTAATGAGGCATTGGAAATTTAGGAGAAGTCTTGAAGGGATTCACTTGAACCAGAAAGAGCATTAGATTATTAAAGGTTTTAGAAACTTCAGTGGAAAAGATTGAAATCTGTGTGGTAGGTAAGCCGATTGTACATTTGTGAGGATTTGATGTTGTATAAGGATTAACTCCGGGGCAGTGTCCATCACATCAGCAGAAGGAGTGTGCGTGATAATAATCATGAAGATATTTTAGACTTACTGCCCTGTTAAAATCTCTAATCCAGGTGTAGGTTGCTTTAGCAAGTATCCTCTTTGTGATGGTTTTATGAACCGTTTCAAGAACCAGGACTGAGATGAGACGTATTGAATGCTTGTTTACTCTTTTCCCTCTGAAGGCTTCATCATGTTAATCCACGAAATAAACTGACCTCAGAATATTGGGGGTGGGGCAGGGACGGATGACAACCCAGAATCTAATGTGTGCCTAACACAAGGGAGGACTAGACTGGCTGATTATAAAGAGATTAGTCAGAGGATAGGAAGTGCCTGAGGATTTGGAACTGTGGCCGGAGCAGGTGCACAGTGAAGGGAGGCTCTCTTGTTCTACTGATGAAGTCTCTCCCATGTCATCGCCATCTGTACCTGGGCAGGGGTCAAAAACTGTCTTTTCTTGTGCGGAGATCTTTCCTCTGCAAAGAGGGAGCTGTACTGTGGAGAAGCCTCTGCCTGTGTCTACACATGTCTAATGTAAACATCCGTAAACTTCTTTCTACAGAAGGACCTTGCCGAGCCATTCCTGAGTCTGCAGAGGTCTGTAGTTTCTTGAAACACACCAAACTACTGTACCTGTGGTAGGATAATTTACTTTCCCGTACATTTATAATTTATACTGAAATAGCTAATGTGTGAAGGGTCCAAATCTAGATCTGAGATGATCCTATCTCTGAAACAAAAGCTTGCAATTATGAAATTCAGTAGTAGAAAATGAAAATAGCTTAAAGTTCAAATATTGATGTAAGAAGAGTGTGGGGGAAATCCAGGCTCACATAAGAGGGCCATGTTGAAGCTCTTAGCGTTTTTTCACTGGACTGTAAATGTATTTCTACATGAGTGCTACAGTTACCCACAATCAGTAGAGGTCATTCCTTGCTGTGTTAATACTCGGCCCTAGATTGACCGGATCTGGAGTGTTGAATTCATTTGGTATTATGTTTTAAGAAGATATTGACTATCTGTGGAAATAAGTCAATTAGGAAAGGCAGGCCCTTTTGTTTTAAGTTCCGGGCATGGTCAGATAGTTCTCAACATTGTGGAGATGGAGACAGGCAGACGTCTGGTGGTCAGTGTGGTGATATTTTATTTGCGCAGTCCAATAAAACTTATCTGGGGATCAGAGAACAGAGCCAGCCACCAAGTTAGACATAGATGTCAGGCATGGTGGCACACATCTTTAATCCTATCATTCGGGAGGCAGAGATGCCTCTGGATCTCTGTGAGTTCAAGAACAGAGCCCGGTGTGCTGGCACAGGCCTTTAATCCCAACACTTGAGATCTCATGTTTTTGCTTGGGAAGGACACATGCCTTTACTCCCAGGAAGTGATGGCAGGAAGCGGAAAGGTATATAAAGGCGTGACGGACGATCAGGAACTAGAGGCTTTTTAGCAGGAGTTCAGCTGAGATCCATTCCAGTGAGGACTCAGAGGCTTTCAGTCTGAGGAAACAAGGCAAGGCGAGGTTGACTGTGGCTTATTCTGTTTCTGTGATCTTTCAGTGTTCACCCCAATATCTGGCTCCGGGTATTTTTTTTGTTTTTTTGTTTTTTGTTTTTTTTATTAATAAGACCTTTTGAACTTCGTGTTACAGGTCAGTCAGTCTAGCCTACTTGGTGACTTCTAGGCCTGTGAGACCATATCTTTAAATAAATAAATAAATCCATATCTAAATAAATAAATAAATAAGGGGAATGGTATTTGAGAAACAAAATTAGAGATAGCCTCTGGTCCACGTGGACCTCCCCACACAAACATAGACCAGCACAAGGGAAGATTGTTTGGGTGGGAGTTCCACCTCACACAGCTTCAGAGCCCGCCAAACACTGCTCCTCCCCCAGAGAGGCTCAGGATGACCACCACAGGAGATATATAAGCAGCATCCACAGGGGATATATAAACAGACTCGTGGTTCTTCCATTCTCCTTCCCTTCTCCTCTCTGGGGCCAGGGAATCACCCAGGAGTGCTTTACCCATTAAACCTGGGCTTTTCCAGATTTGGTCTGATTCGGCTTGTTGCGAAAGCAGAGAGGGAGGCTTAAAACTTATCAAAGATATTGACAAAGTATTTCAGGAGTAATTTAAATAGGACAGTATAAGAGTGTGAAATGTACATTTTGTTGTTGTCCAAAGTTCTTGGTGTACAGATCCCCAAATCCTGGGAATGGTCATAGTGATAAGTGAACTTCTTTTGGTTTTTTGAGACAGGGTTTCTCTGTGTAGCTTTTCATCTTTCCTGGAACTCACTCTGTAGCCCAGGCTGGCCTCGAACTCACAGAGATCTGCCTGCCTCCCAAATGCTGGGATTAAAGGCATGTGCCACCACTGCCCGTCGATAAGTGAACTTTTATATGTTAATGGTTAGCTGTTGCCTGGCAGCCTCTGGTCCCTTGGGCATGGGGAGTGGGGGGGGGGGGGGGGGTGGGGAGTGGTTTACCAGAAAACTAAGGCAATCCTATGGGGTTAGGACATTCAGCCCCTGTCCCCTGATCCTGGGGAAGGGAGAGACTGGAAGTTGTTGGCATTGATAAAATTAGTCATACCTACATGATAAAACTTTTGTAGCATTTGATTTTGAGGAACTCTTGGGTAGCCAGACACTTTGTAGTTCCTAGAGGTTCTAAGTCCTTCCCTCCTCCTGGCCCTGGTTGTCTCTTCATCTGCTGTTCATCCCTCCTAATATCTTGTATTTCCTTCTGCCTGAGCCACTCTAGAGATGAATCCGACCCCAGGGGGGCGTGGTAGGAACTACAGTGTAGGGTAGGCTGCCGGAAGCATGAGTAAAACGGCCTGGGCTTGTGACCATCGTGTCCAAGGAGAACGGGGGTGGGGTGGGGTGGGGGACTCATCTGTGGGTTCTGATGTCATTGACCTGGAGGGAGTGTCAGAACTTAATGATGGGACGCCTAGTGACGGCCACTTCAGAATTATTACCTGCCTGATACTACTGCCAGAAACTACTCCATTTTAGGTACAAATCTGTACTGATTTTTGTTGGAGTAGGAAAATGTGTATTCTTCTCTCTCAAAAATGGTAAGGTTTCCAAAAATAGTCTCATAAAGGAGTGGCCACATGTAAGGAAGTAGTATTTAATCTTGTAGCAGAGAAGACTTAGAAGGGACATCACAGCTTTCTTCATATTTTTGAAAGCAATGTGTTGTTGGTTGTTTTTTTTTTTTTAACTTTTTTTGGGGGCTCACCACCCAACTCCCAAATAAATATACAGAGGCATTTTGTAAATTAGCCCCCCCCTACACTTTTGCCTCTGGGCTTTTCCCATTCTATTACTTCCGTAAATCTTACCCTTACTCCGTGGCTTGCTGGTTGTGTAGCTGGGTGGCTGGACCCTGGTGTCCTCCCCTCCTCTAGCTTCTTCTAGATCTCCCTTTCCAGATTTCTCCCTCTATATATTCTCTCTGCCTGCCAGCCCTGCCTATCCTTTCTCCTGCCTTGCTATTGGTCAGTTCTTTATTAGACCATCAGGTGTTTTAGACAGGCACAGTAACACAGCTTCACAGAGTTAAACAAATGCAACATAAACAGAAGTAACACAACTTAAAATAATATTCTACAATAGCAGTGTCCTGTAAATAGGGGTTAATGCATTCTATGCAGTTACAGTGTCTAAAAATAGGATCAGTAATGAGGTTACAGCAGCATTTCTCAGTGGTGTGGGGAAGTGTCTTCTACTTATTAGAGACACACTAGAGTAGAAGGAAATAGCCTTTAGAGTTCCTGGGGACTGTGATGTTGAGAGGGGGTCAGAATCAGGGCGCTATTTAACAACCATGTTTTAGGGTGGCATTCTCCTTTTATTGGGATGATAGGCAAGTTGTTGGAGCTTCTTTTTTAGCCATAATTGTTGTAAGAAACAGTGAGAGCCTAAAGTCGATTTCAAAACTTGTAAGCCATTTCAGTTCATTTGCGGAACTGAATACGTTCATTCTGGGTCTCTGCTCACTTTGGGAAGTGGTGGCCTTTTGGACAGACACCTCCACAGTGGAAGCCACCCAAAGCATTGGAGAGTATTTGGCAGAATGCCTGGCCTCTAGCTCTTGCATTCTTGTCTTGACAACTAAAAATATCTCCAAACGTTGCCAGTTGTGCTCTGGGATGTGTAAGGGAGACAGAATTATGACAAGTACTATTTTAAGAGGACACCAGTAGGAATAATCTATTATCTGCACACATTAGGACAAATGGGTTTTTGCTAGTTTATGTGTTTTAAGTTCTTGCTCTGGTGAAAAGGATTCCTGCCTTAAATTAAAGCCTCTCTTTCTGCTCTCCCTCTACGTCTTCCTTCCCCTCTGCCCCAGCTCTCACCCCTGCTTGCGTCTTAAATCTTATTAGCCATCTTCCTGTGTGTGTATTGAGTGGGATATCAAGTCAGAGTGCATTTTTATTTTCTGCCTTGTGTTAGCATTGCTTATATTTAGCTTCTGCTGCTGCTGCCTGTCTTGTGCTTCGAGAAGTAGTTCTCAGTATATTGTTAAATGCCCTGGCCCTCATGTGAAAAGAAGCCAACATGATTTTCCTACTGTGTGTCAACTCAAAGCCTCTATCCCTTATGGAATAGAATGTTAGAAAAATTAACAGGAAATGACTATTACTTTGTCATAAAAATTACTTTAGGATAAAACACCTTTCTTTCAGTGTGTGTTTGTATGTGTGTGTGAATAACATTCATCTTGTTTTGAGACAGGACAGAGTCAGTCTAGCCTTGAATTTTACTTGTAATTGTTACCTTGAATTTCTGATTCTCCTGCCTCTACCTCCTAGGTGTTGGGGGTCACCAGGATGCATTACCATGCCTGGCTTAAAATTCTTTACCTAATTCAGATATTTGATGATAGTACTACTGTGAACAGTTCATGCACAGCTTGTTCATTTTTCCCTAAGTACTAACTTGCAGATTATAAGGACTATTCATTGTGCATAGCTCTGATCTTTGTTTTTTCTTCTTTAAACTAGGAGGAGACCTCAGAATGGAGACCCTGTCGTTCCCCAGATACAATGTAACTGAGATTGTGGTTCATATTCGAAATAAAATACTAACGGGAGCTGATGGCAAAAACCTCTCTAAGAATGATCTCTATCCAAACCCAAAGGTGAAATGCACTTGTCTTTACATGGAGATCCTAATATTTATGAATAAAGTAAGCTACTGGGTCTGTAGTGTGGGAAGGAAGGCAAGTGCCCTCTTATTTGTTGTGGGCCAGTCATTTTTAATCTAGAGGAAAATCTCTCACCTGGTGTAATTTTAAAATAACATGAAGTTTATATGTGGGGCAACTTCTTCATCCCATTGGGAACCCAGTTCTTTAATACAGCTGTTTTCCTTAAAGAAAAAAAGGCTTTAAAACATAGGTATATTAAAGTATATTAAATTTTTTATATTACTGGAGTGGTGGTATGAGGGCATCATTTATTGGAGAGCTTGACAGGATTTATTCCAAGTGGTTTCCTACACACGCATGCTTAAAAGCAGTCTTCTTTGGAAGCGTGCAGATTAATTTTCTTACATTATGCCCCAGGCGGGAATTGACTTATTTTGACAGGTGTTATTCTTTATATGTTTGGTTATTAAATGCAAAAATGAGCTATTTATGTGTCGCAGCAAAATCCCAAAGTCTCCCTCCAGTTTCCTGTGTTGGCCTTGAAGTTATAATATGGGAAGGCTTCTTTTATCATACAGAATGCAAAATTGTTTATCTCAGTGCACTTGAGTCTTTGAAATGGAAAGAATGGCCAGAGTGAGTGATAGGCCTTTAAGGCAGTAATACAGCTTTAGGAAAACATTGCCACCTTTCCACCATAGTTCAGGCCTTTGTTCACCTAAGGAACTTGAATGCAGGGCGGACAGGTTCTCGGGCCAGCATTTGGGATCTACTGACTTAGAAAACAAGGGTTTTAAATCCTACTATTTCTCCATTTACTTTCATAGCCATTATTCCAAGTGTTGCAGCTAAACTGAAATCTGAGTTGACCTTCTATCCATAGCAGCAGGCTAGTCTAAGTGATCTTTCTTTAAAAAGTAAAAATCAAATCTTGAGTGGTCCAGCATTTCCTCATTCCTGACAGTTCAGGAAGACTCACCTGTCTACCCTGTCTGGGCTAGGTCAATTGATTGGGTTGGATTTGGATAGACCAACTCTCATTTATAAGTAACCAATTTCCTTGTTTATTCACTACATATGAACAAATTGGTATGTACCATAAGGTATCCAAAAATTTGGAGAAATTATGAGGTTTTTCGAGGGAAACGGGGTGATTTTTATCACCGTTTCTCTTTGCATTCATTGACTGCAGCATTTGATGGTGATGGTGGTAATGACACAGCTCTCTAAGCCACTGACTGTAGTTTTCTCTTGTAGCCTGAGGTCTTGCACACTATCTACATGAGAGCCTTACAGATAGTGTATGGGATCCGGCCGGAGCACTTCTACATGGTGAGTTAGGAGATAAAAATGTTTGTGTTTGTGTTTACAGCAGTTCTGCTCACAATGCACTCTGCCCAAAAGGATACAAAGTGTTTGACTTTATTTCCAACAAATCTAAAGGCTTACATAAAATTGCTCTCCCTTAGAGAAGACTTTTAGGTGTAATAAATAGTAGCTTACATGAGAATCTTTAGTAAGATGAAAACTAATGGAAGATCCAGTGACACCTGGAAATTACTGATTCTATGTAGTTTGTCCACAGATGTGTAGTTCTGGCTTCAGAGACTTTAATAAACAACTGCCAAGTCTTTAGAAAAACAAATGTTTTGTAGAAGATAGTAAGGTTGAAGCAGTTGAAATGAGGCAAACGATGTAGTTCTAGTCAGAAAGACCACTTCTCTTGACCATGTTTTGTGATGAAATTATCAAGGCATTTGTCTGAGGATCCATGAAGATGTAATGTCTGCGGGGTCTCATCAGGCTCTATAATTTTTACTGTTTTGATAACCCAGACTGTCCTTGAACTCATGATCTTCCTGTGTGCTTGCTTGTATTACAGACACTCTTAGCTTATGATTGGATGTTTTTAAAGATGTAAGATTTTTGCCATGTGTTTACTATGGAACTTTGCAAAGGTTTTGTTTCTTTACAAAATGAGGTGTCCCTCTAAAGTAGGGTTATAACAGTTAAGAGAACAACAAAGTCAAGTGCCTAGCTTAAGGTCTGATGTTATTTCTCTGCCCTTAAAAGTCTTCATTAAGTGCCCACTGGGAACTGAGCATCATATATTACTGTCAACTCTAGCCATGCATTAGGAGTTGTATTGTTTTCAGATTTAGTGGTAATGAATTAATATCATTTGATCATTTCCTGTGATTAAGATTTCTTAGAATTGAAGATTCCTCTCATTTCGTCTAATTGACTTGTGTCTTAGATTTCATGATTTATTTCATTCAGATGCCGGTGAACGTAGAAGTCATGTATCCACAACTAATGGAGGGCTTTTTACCAATCACAAATTTATACTCTCATCTGTGAGTAAAGGGTGATCTTTTTTTATCTACATTACATTAAATTGACTAATGGTATGATCTTTGTGAAAGAACAGCTTGCTCCCTTTATCTCCTGTGTGTTCAGAGTTCTCACATGCATTCAGTCTTTTCCTCTGGCACTCTTCAGGATGCTCTCACATGACATTCTAAGGTGCTCTAAGTCTGGAATTGTTTGGTAGCTTTGCGTTCTTAAAGAGTCTTAGAATCACCAAGAATATATGCTGTTTATTAGTCTAACTACCTTGATACTGCATGAATGTTGATGTAACATGCAGAGAAAACAACACTAATGCAATATAGAAGTAGATTTCAATGCCGCAGGACTGCACTGCAGTAGACTTTTGACCTGACTTGGCTCTTGAACACTGACAAATAGGTTGAAAGTAAGATGTTTGCATTCATGGTGTAGCACCTAACACCTTGCTCTTCACTGTTCTGCATCCTAAAGGGCCTCCTTTATGCCCATCTGCCGAGTGAATGACTTTGAGTTCTCTGATCTTCTGTATCCAAGTAAGTACATTTCCAATCATTTAATTCACCATTTTCCCTTTCGGCCAATAAGTGTAAAAGAAAACGATGGGAAAGATCTTTTAGAAAACTATTGCTTTTTTGTCCTGATAGATCTATAGAAGGCTGTTTTTTAAATTGATTTTTCTTAAAGCTTCGTATTTTTTAAATTTTCCTAAAATTTTGGAAGATAACTTTATTTCTGTGTTAATATCACTCTGCCACACATGATGGATGCTCCTAAAACTCCCTGGACTTTGTATAAGAAATGTGGCAAGCACCAACCCCATTAAGTGACACAGTACAAGAAGGGCAGAGATTGTCTGCCTGCCTTGGGAGGTGGGTTATGGTGAGAAACAGTGCATATGGTGGGCAGAGCAGGCCCATTTCCCTCAGAAGGCTAAAAACTACAAAGACGGTTGAGCTGAGGCTTGCGGGTGCTGAGCCCAGCTGCAGGTCTAAGAGGATGCTGGTGATGAAGACATGTAAGAAAAAGGGCCAGGTGATCCAGTTGTGAGCTCATTTTGTTATGAAGGCAATGCAATCATGAGGTTACATTTAAAAATTGGGAGTCCAGATACAAATGATGTGCGGGTGTGATGTTGCATAGTGAGTTAATCTGGCCAAAGTTATGAAATTAGCAATTACATTTTATCCATGAGAAGCTTGTATTGTAGCACTGATACTACACTGCTGTAACCGTGCATAACATTTCCACGGCCCACAGAAGCGTCTTGTTATTTGCAGTCAGTTCCCTGTGGCCACCATTCTCTGACAGCACCGACGTGTTTCTTTCACTTTGCCTTTGCATCAGCTTTAAAGTGACGGAGTCATAGCAGAGCACAGTCATGTCTGTCTGGCTTCTTTGAACAGTGCTTTTGACGTTTGTGCATATTAACCGAATTTATTAGTCCTTTGTTTCTTTTGCCTTTGCAGTATTCTCATGTAAGTGTATGGCAGTTTGTCCATCCATCTACCAATTAGTAGGCATTTGAATTGTTTCTAATGTTTGGCCATTATTGGCAAAGCAGCTGTGAATATTCATATTTATAAGTGTGTGGATGTGATTTCATTTCTCTGTATAAATACTGAAGAGTAGAAAATCTAGCCTGTGTGATAAGTGCATGTCTCGCTTTTTAAGAAGTTACCAAACTTTTCCAAAGTGGCTGCATCCCATTGGCAATATACAATAGTTTCCATTGTGCCGTATCCCCCGTGGTTTGAGTAGTATATGTTTTTAATTTTCACCATTCGCTGGGTATGTAGTGGTTTTAGTTTACTTTTCCTTGATGACTAATAAAACTGAGCATATTTTCATACGCTTATTTACAGTGATATGTCGTCTTTATGGTGATATGTCATCCTTGACAAAGTTCTTTTCAAATCATTAGTCTATTTTTTAAATTTAAAAAAATATGTGTATGGGTATTTTGCTTGCATGTATTCCTGTGTACTGCATGTGTACATTGCCCACAGAGTTCAGAGGAGGGTGTCAGAATCTTTGGAACTGGACTTACAGGTGGTTGTGAGGTGCCATGTGGGTGCTGGGAATCAAACCTGAGTCATCTGGAAGAGCAGCACTCTTAACCTCTGAGCATCCGTCCAGCGCCTTGTCTATTTATCTTATAGACACTTCAGATAAATTATCAGCTGATTTCAAATAAATTATCAGCTGATTACGCAGGTCTTTTCTGCTACTCTGTTATTTGCCTTTTCAGTTATATAGTTATGCAAAATTTCAGTTTTGAACATTTTAATTGATTTTTAAAGAATAAATTTGTATGTCGTTCTGAGAAATCTTAGCTTAATCGAAGTTGCTGAGATTTGCCTCTGAGTGCTTGGTGGGTGTTGTCTTGCTTGTTTAATGTTTTGATTGTTATATATGGTGTGAGTCACTGTTCCTGTTTCCCCTTTTGTATGTGAGTGTTACTAATCTTGCACTACTTGTAGAAACATTACCCTTTCCCTGTTAAATTGCTTTGATACTTTTTATAAAAAAAAAAAATCAATGCACATACTCTGCATACCTATTAAGACTGACAACACTCCAAAATCCAGCAGTCTGAAGTGTTGAGAAGGACTCGGGGTGGCAGGCTCCTGAGTTCTTTGCTACCGCAGTGCACAGAGGCATGGCCGCTTTGGCAGTTTCTAACAAAATGAAACTTGTTCTTACCGTATGATCCAGTAGTTGGGCTTCTTGGTATCTACGCAAAGGAATTCAAACTGCGTTGACATACAATCACATACAGAGAAGCTGGTAGCAGCTTTGTTCACAGTTTCTAACTGGCAGACACCATCCTGTCTTTCAATGGGTCAGTAAATAAACTACATCCAGGCAGTGGAATGTTATTTAGTGCTAAGTGGCAATGAGCTCTCAACCTGTGAGAAAACATGGAGGAACCGTAAGTGTGTATTATCAATAAAAGGAGCCAATCTGAAAAGGCTATATAGCTATATGACATGTAAAAGACAAAACACTGGAGACAGAAAGAGAGAAAAAAAATGGGTGATTGTGAGGCTCAGTGGAGAAAGAGGAGCAGTTAGCTAGAACACAAGCTTTTTAGGCCAACGAAGCTTCTGTGTGTTACTACAGTGGTAGTACGTGTATGCCATCCTGCAGTCACAACCCACAGACAATACAATGGCAGCTAGCACATCTAAGTACGGAGTGATAATGATGCCTCATTCCTAACAAAAATGCCACTGATGCCGATGGCAGAGAAAGACTAATGGAAGGCCTCTGGAGAACTACCTAATCCCTACTCAGATTTTGCCATGAGTGGAAAGCTTGTGAAAAATGAAGATGTATGTGAGACATCAATTGACCCCATTTCTGGGATGCTATTCTCTAGGCTCTGGCGTCATTCTGTATGGATATCCGGTTTCCTGGCACCATTCATCTAGATGTTTGTCTTTACAGCAAGTATACTTGAAGTCAGGCACGAGTTCCTGCAGCCACATTTTCTTCACTCACTCATCTGTTGATGTGCATGTAGACTGGCTCTTTATTTCGGATGTGTGAGCTGGGCAGCTGGAGCCCCGTGCTGTTTACTTTTTGTTCAGTTCCCTGTAGATGTAATCAACGGTCTTATAAAATAAGAAACACAGAGCCAATTCAGAGAAGAAAGCCAAGAGGTCAGAGCTAAGAGCCTCACCCTTCCTGATTCAGGGATCCTCTCCAGCCAAGAGAGCTCTCCGAAAAAGACCTACTTCCTGTGTGTCTGTCTTTAAAGTCTTCCTGTTCTGCCTTCTCATTGGTTGTAAACCCAAACATGTGACTGCCTCGTCACTGCCTGAATGTACCGCCCTCCAGGTCCTTAAAGGCGTGCGCCACCGCCGCCATGCACTTGCTATGACTCTAATAGCTCTGACCCCCAGACAACTTTATTTATTAACATACAATTAAAATCACATTTCAGTACAAGTAAAATACCACCACATTTCCCCTTTTCTATTTTAATAAAAAGGAAAAAAAAGAAAAAGGTTATAACTAACAAAAGAAAAACTATATACAAAAGTACAATGACTATATACAATATATACAAGTAATAAATGTCTAAACAATGTCTAGTCCATTTGTATTTGACAAATTCAGAGAAAATAATTTCATTATCTATCCTATTTTGTTAAGTCCAAAATGTATCTAATTCACTTTCTATCCTAATTAATCTTCAACTATAACTAACTAACCTTCAACTATAAAGAAAATTCAAAGTTAATAGAGCATTATGCAGTCTGTTTCTGGGGGTTTTTGTTACCCCTTTCTGTTTATTTAGCATATCCTTTAGAGTTCTGTTTGATCTTCCTATAACTGCTTGACCTGTAGGATTATGTGGTATGCCTGTAATATGCTTTATATTGTAATAACCAAAAAACTGTTTCATTTTAACAGAGACATATGATGGAGCATTATCAGTTTTGATTTGTGCAGGTATACCCATGATGGCCATAACTTCGAGCAAATGAGTGATTACAGAATCAGCTTTTTCAGAACTCAAAGCAGTTGCCCACTGAAATCCTGAATAAGTATCGATAGTGTGGTGTACATATTTCAGTTTTCCAAATTCTGCAAAGCGAAACACGTCCATCTGCCAGATTTCATTCCTTTGAGTACCTTTTGGGTTACATCCAGCTGGTAATGGCGTTTGATTGTAGAAGGAACAAGTAGGACATTTCTTTACTATTTCTTTGGCTTGTTGCCAGGTTATGGAAAAATCCTTTTTTAAACCTTTACTATTGACATGATGTTTTTTATGAAATTCTGAGGCCTCCAGCACATTTCCTATCAATAATTTATCAATCTCATCATTGCCTTGTGCTAGAGGGCCTGGCAGACCAGTATGGGATCGAATGTGAGTTATATATAAAGGATGACTCCTTTTCCTGATTGTATCTTGTAATTGAATAAATAGTGAAGTTAATTCTGAAGCATCAGGGATAAATTCTGCAGTTTCAATATGTAATACTACTCTTTCAGCATACTGAGAGTCAGTTACTATGTTGAGAGGTTCTGAAAAATCCATTAATACCAACAGAATAGCATACAATTCTGATTTTTGAACTGAATTATAAGGACTTTGAACCACTTTACTTAAATTTTCTGATTTGTAACCTGCCTTTCCTTGCTTGTTGGCATCTGTATAAAATGTACGAACTCCAGATATGGGTTTTTCCCGTACAATTCGAGGCAAGATCCAATCAGCTCTCTTTATAAGATCAATTCTATCGCTTTTGGGATATTTGCTGTTAATTTCTCCCAAAAAATTACTGCAAGCTCTTTGCCAAGGTTCACTTTCTGTCCATAATTTTTCAATATCCTCCTTAGTTAAAGGTACGACAATTTCTGCTGGGTCTATTCCTGCTAATTGACGAAGTCTCAATTTTCCTTTCCAAATCAAGTCAGAGATTTTTTCCACATAAGTTTTTAATTTTTTATTTGGTTTATTTGGTAAAAATATCCATTCTAATATAATATCTTCCCTCTGCATTAATATTCCTGTAGG